TTAACATAATTTAAGACAATCTCAAAATGGCATCTGATTGGCAGAAGTTTTATGTAGACTTGAACAGGAAAAAAAGATTGAATTTCAAGAAAATGATAAAGTTATTTTGAAAAATTACGATTTGGGTTCAAATGAAAAAAAAACTGAGTCTGAGATTTATTGGACCTTATGAGATTTTAAAAGGGTCGGACTAGTAGTTTATCAGTTAGCTTTGCATCCCGAAATAGTCAATACCCATAATTTGTTTCATGTGTCATTATTTAGGGAGTACCGATCAGATCCATCATATGTTATTTCATTGGAGGAAATAGAGATTCAACCAGATTTGACTTATAAAGAATAACCAGTATGGATCTTGGCTTAAGAAATCAAGAAACTGCATAGCAAGATGATTCCTTTGGTTAAAGTGCATTGGTAAAAACGTAAAGTCTTAAAAATTCGAGGACGATTTTTCTTAAGGGGACAATTGTAATACCCCAAATATCAAGTCAGTGACTAAAGTGTAAGGATTTAAAATTTAGAGGGTTAAATTGAATAAATTAAAAAGTATAAGGATTTATTTAGTAAATTATGTTTAAGACTTATTAGTAAAAAATGGAAAAATGGAAGTCATTATGATCCTTTAGAGGGAAATGAATTTAATATTCATTTTATTGATGATATTTATTTAGGGTTGTAAAGGGGAAACAGGATAAGCTGAAAATTGGTTCTCTTCTTCTTCTTCTTCTTCTCGTCCCTGTGCTCCCCATAACAAAGGTAAGGTTTCTTTAAGTTGAGTTTTCCTTTCATTTTTGGGTTGGTTTTGAAGCCTTAAGTGGTTTAGAGGCTTAAGGAAAGTTCAAGGAGGATTAAAAATAAGAGATGAATGATTTATTTGAGATTTAATAAAATGGATTTTTAAATGATTTGATGAAATATGGTCAGATATTGGAGTTTAAAGGCATTTTTGACTTTTCAAAGAAGTGAATAAGAGATTTAGAGCATTAGAAGTGATTAAAAACATGTTTGAAAACTTTGTGTGAATCTTAGTTTTGAGTGTTCTTTGGAGATTTTAGATGTTATAAGAAGATTTATTGATGTAAGTTAGTTTGATTAAGTAATGATGAGTTCAATGATATGGTTGGAGATAAAAGAAAGAGATTTAGGCAAAATGTGGTAAAAATCAAAATGAAGTATGTAAAATTTAGGTAAAGTATCGGTACTGAAAGAACAGTACCGATACTATAGGGTTAAATTTGAGGAAATAGGATCAACACGATGAATAGTATCGATACAGAAGTGGGATATCGATACCAAGAGGAAGGTATCATACCTATTATTGAAAAATAGATTCCATAATGCAAAAATGGTATCGATATTGAATGGAGTATTGGTACCATAGTATAGAAGTATCGATACCATAGGAGGGTGATACTTTTCAGCCTGAAATTTTTAAGTTAGGAAGAATTTTAAAAGAATTCAGAAATAATGGTACTTTTGAATATTATTATTTTGTATAAATGTTAGAAAGGATGCTAACATTTTATTTCATATTTGTATATGTGATTGTGGATGCTTGTGTAGTTCGTGATTAAAGTTGTGATACAAGCAAATCAAAAGGCAAGGAAAAAGTTCAAAAATAGTTGGACTTCATCAGTAAGGCATAATAGCGAGGCATACCAGGTGAGTGCATTTATTGTACTTATATGAGATGAAGATGATTTGCGTAAGTCAACCTCGAATGTTTTGATAAAAGTATGTTTTACAGTATTTTGATATGTTTTCATAATGTTTATGGGAATGATATTACGAATAAATTTTAGAGTATGAAATGCTCTAAAAAGAATAGATGAATGTTTATGTTGTTTTAATGGTTATCGATGTTTCAGAAATAAATGTTTAATCCACAAATTTGACTTAAAAGCCCAATTGTATGTGCATTGAGAGTCATAGGTGCATTTTGACATAAATTGTATATAATGGTTATCGATCAATTTTGTGTAATGCATTTTCGTATCAGTACTATGTGTACTTTTGGCACTATATGTGCAATCATGGTATTAAAAATTAGTTTGTGAATTTCCATTTTGGTGTACAATTATGTATAAAAGTTATCGATCTATTTTGTTTAATGCATAACGGTGCATTTTTGTATTAGTACTATATATACTTTTGGTACTATGTGTGCAGCCCATGGAATTCATAATAATTTTATGAATGACCGTATCAGTACTATGTGTGTAACCCACGGAATTCATAATGAGTTTATGAATGATTGTATCAGCACTATGTGTGCAACCCACGGAATTCATAATGAGTTTATGAATGACCGTATCAGCACTATGTGTACAACCCATGGAATTCATAATGAGTTTATGAATGACCTTATCGGCATTATGTGTGCAACCCACAAAATTCATAATGAGTTTATGAATAACCATATCTGCACTGTGAGCAATCCATGGAATTCATAATAAGTTTGTGAATTTGCATTTTAGCACTTCGATGCAATGCATGTACCTTGCATTCTCATTTGGCATACATTGGGCAAAATAAAAGATAAATTGGAAAAATATTGATTAATAGGTATGCTGGGCATACTAAATATAGATTATCAAGTTATGTGAATGAAGGTTGGTTTTGTCAAGCCAGTTTAAGTATTAATATGATTTATATGAATTAAATTCGTATCTTGATATTTTATGATATACCTATGTTTATGCTACACCTCATTTGTATTATTATGCCTCACTAAGTAAATACTTAGCATGTGATGATTTTTCATATGTAGGTAAAAGTCATGATTAGGAGTAAAGAGTACATAACAACTTCAAGCATCAAGGAATATACTACAACATTAGTAAGACATCCTATGATGTAATTTTTTACTTAGTTTAGTAGCATCTACTTATGAATGTCCTATTAACTCTATATAACTATTTTTGGAACGGGCTTGTAATGAACCAACTGAATCATTTTATGTTATACTAAATATGGATAATATGAACAAATATTATGAATTTCAGTAGATGTGTTTAATATATATATATATATATATATATATATATATGTGTGTGTGTGTACCGAAATGTTTTGAAAGTCGTGTGACATATGTGACTCGTGTACGATATATATTATATTATAATATATATATATCTATGGTGTGTGTATTTGAAGAATGTTGTACAAACTATATTATTAAATTGTTTTATCTAAAGAAACAAATTTTGATGGTTTTCAAGTACCGAAATGTTTTGAAAGTCGTGTGACATATGTGACTCGTGTACGATAACACATATGGGGAATGGGTGTTACAATATATGTGTTCCCACCCTCAAAAATTTTTCTAGAACCACCACTGCTTATAAGTTACAATTGATGTAGTTGTAAGACTCTGATGAAGCTGCGAGATTTTGAATTTATAATAAACTGTGATAATTAATATGATTACTTTTTAAAAGTTAAAACAAATTGTTAGTTATGATAATTAAATTAATAAATTTACTTTCTATATTAATTATAATCCTTATATTATAATCATTAAATTAATTTCATTAAATAATTTATTTATTGAACATGATTTTATTAGATTATATAAAATTAATTTAAATATTTATAAATTTAATTACTTTTTATGTAATAATTAATTTATAATTTAGCTTAAAATTCTGAAATATATATAAAAGACAAATTTACTTGAGATTGAAATTTTAAAAATTTAAAATTTATTCCTTAAATATGGGGGCAACAATATGAAAATAAGAGGGAAAATAGGTGAAAATATGAAATTAAACTCTTAAAATTTACTTGGCACGCAACAAGATGAAAATAAGAGGGAAGATGGGAGGCAATAACACCCCTGCTTTTACTTTTTATTATAGATTTAATATAATAAAATAATTCTTTTTGGTAAACTACATAAGTGGTCATTAAAGTTTGATTAATATTTTATTTTCTCCTTTAATGTTTCGAAAGTAATGAATTTTTCATAATATTATTGATTTATAATAAATTGTTCACTAAAGTTATCGATTTATAATAAATTGATCACTAACGTTAATGATTTATAACGAATTGGTCACTAACGCATCATACATACATACATACATACATATATATATATACACACAAGCATATATATATATACACACACGCATCATACATATATACTTATGCATATATACTTAAATATACACTTATGTGCATACATCATACATATATATACACTTATGTATATCCTTATGTATATATAAATATATTATATATATATATTATCATAAGTATAATGGATGCACAAGTATAATGTACATTAATAAATTGGTCACTAACGTAACCGATTTATAACAAATTGATCACTAACGTTATATTAATTTAATCTCTACATTTTAATTCTTTCAATATGATTCCAACATATTTTATATTTTATTTAAATTTTAGTTTAAAATTTCATATGTATTCAATTTAGTCCTACATTATATTATTTTAAATATTATTACTTATAATATATCATATTTTGATGATGCATTTAGAGATAAATTATGATAAATTTAGTTTTTAATAATTATAATTTTTATTATTTTAAATTTTATTTTTAAAATTAAATTATGATATATATACACATGCGCATGATACATATATACATATATATATAAACTTATGTACATACATCATACATATATACTTATATATATATATAAACTTATGTATATCCTTTTTTTTGGATAAGTTAAGTTTTTATTTATCCAAAAGGAAGCAGCAAGCTACTACAAGGAACATTACAAACAGCTAAGTCAAATCCCAATCAAGACACAACCTCCTATTTACATTATCCAATCTGTTCATATGACACCTATACAATTTGATTCTAACAGCCTCTCTAACTCTATTAATAATTTCCTCAGCTGGACGGATCACACCTCTAAAAATCCTGTGATTCTATTCCTCCCATATAAAATAAACAAAACCAGTCCAAGCTAGCTTAAGAATTTGAGTTAGAAGAGATTTATCTTTCAAATTCAATATCAGCCAGCGCAAAGCGTCATTCTAGCAGTGCAGCACCTGAAGCTGGAGTCCACAAGCTCGCAAAATAGTACCCCAAACCTCTTTGCATAAGACAATTCCAGGAAGAGATGATTACGGGATTCCTGTCCAGCACCATATAACCCACATACGTTATCAGTCACCATGCCAAATCTGACTCATATGTCCTTTGTTGGCAGCCTATCAAGAATCATCATCCAAGCTATAATAGAAAATTTGGGAATATGAGCTGCGAACCAGATAAGTCTATACCAATCAACCTTGTCCCTCCTATCATGAACACTATCCCAAATCCAACCACCTTTGATCTGTGTCAAATTGATAGCAGGCCAGAACAGTCTCCTAGCTTCATCCCTTAGCTTTAGCAATTTTATGAGAATCCAGCTAAAATGGGTTTTGCAACCAACATTCCAATAATCCATAGTTTTGAAGCAATAACCTTTGATCCATGCAATCCACAAGGAACCATCATCAGCAAGGATTTTCCTAACAAGCATAAGGTAACAAGCCTTGCTCCAATCAATTAACTTCCTCAGGCCCAAACCACCTTCAGATTTTAAACAACAAATCTGACTCCAACTCACTCTGGCCCCCTTTGCTGGAATATCACTACCCTTTCAAAAAAAAACCTCATGCAAAGCTTTTCGGTGTCCTTAATAACACCTTTTGGCAAAACCAGATGTCTACTCCAATAGCCAAAGATGATAAAAAAAACATATTTAACAAGCTGAAGTCTCCCCCAAAAGCTTAGGTGCCTGCTAGACCATACATTAATTCTGCTCTTAATTTTAATAAGTAAAGTCGAGCAGTCCCTACTTGTAAGTTTTTGAGTAATCAAAGGCACTCCTAGGTATCTAACAGGTAGCTGGCTAATTTTGAAGCCAGTAGCTAATCGAATCTGCTGCAGACTATTCACAGACACCCCACAAGAAAAGAACTCAGATTTCATAGCATTTAATCTTAAGCCAAAAAGTTCATAAAACTTGTCAAGAATGCTAATAACCCCCACAACAGAATCTAGAGTCCCATGGAAGAACAGGAGTAGATCATCAGCAAAACAAATGTGGGTAAGGCAAATTTTCTTGCACTTTGGATGAAACCTAAATACACCATCCCTTGCAGCAACATTCAGTAGAACTGAAAGCACATTCATTACAATAACAAAGAGGTAAGGAGACAATGGATCTCCTTGCCTCACTCCTCTTGCTCCCAAAAAATACCCTACCAAACTTAAAGAAATAGAATACCTAGGAGTACTCACACATGCTTTTATCCATCCACAAAAAATGGCAGGCAAACCCAAAGCTTCAAGAACATTCAATAAGAAATCCCAACAAACTGAATCGAAAGCTTTTTGGAGATCTATTTTCAAAGAACATCTAGGAGAAAGGTTTTTCCTAGAGTATCCCCTAACAATCTCCTAAGCAAACAAGGTATTTTCAGCAATATTTCGACCTTTTACAAATGTTGATTGGTTATGAGAAATCATACCAGGAAAATAAACTGCCAGCCTAGTGACTAAAATCCTTGTAATTGTTTTGTAAATTACTGAGAAGCAAGAAATATGCCTAAAGTCCTTAGCCATACAAGCATTCAATGACTTAGGAACCAAGGCAATTGTCGTGGCATTAAAAGGAGGCAGGAGAGAAGATGAATGAAAAAAATACCTTGTAGCATACAAAAAAATCTTTGCAAACAATCTCCCATGCTACCTTGAAAAACCAAGAAGTGTAACCATTTGGCCCTTGGCTTTTATCCTTTCCATGTCTAAAAAGTGCTTCCTTAATCTCCTTATCTGTGATCTCACCAACAAGGAATACATCAGCTCCATCAGGCAAGGAGTAATCCAACAGGGATTTCAGCCATTCCACATAACAGCCCTTCACTAAAGGGTCGGGTGTGCCAATGAGGCCCTTGAAAAAATTAACAAGTTCAGAAGCCATGCCATCAAAAGATTCATGGAACTCCCCATTCTCATCTTTGATCATTCTGATAGTATTCCTTTTCTTATTTGACTCAACTCTTTGATGAAAAAATTTAGTACTCATGTCACCTTCCTTCAACCAGTGAGCTTTTGCTTTTTGTCTATAGAACTCAGATTCTGCAGTTTCCAATTCAATTAATTCTGCCTGAACCATTTTCTCTTCAGCCACTCTTCTATGATCTACATGGCCAAGATTATGAATTTGAATAGATTCCAGTTCAACTCTCTTAGCAGTCACTCTACCAGAAATGTCAGAGAAATAACTCTTGTTGAATTCCCTTAACAAAGGCTTTATCCTTTTCATCTTACAAAAGAAAATTTGCATCGGATTTCCAGCACACTGTTCTTGCCAAGAATCCCTTACCACCGTTAAAAATTATCATTTGCAGTCCAACAATTAAAAAATTTAAAAGGCTTAGGCTTATGAACTTGGGCACTCCTTTGAGACCAAACTATGCCAGGGGTGTGATCAGAGACTCCCTGAGCTTGGAACTCCACAAATGAATCAGGGAAATCCAGCAACCATTGAGAATTTATAAGAATTCTATCCAGCTTTTGAGCCAAATAAGAGTTTTCTTGCTTATTTGACCAGGTGAATAAGGGGCCTGAAAAAGGGTGATCCTGTAACTCCAAATCCACCAAGCATCCTTTTACATCATCCATGTTAGAACTGCTATGCACCCCCAAAGTGTCAAAATCTAAACTTTCTTGTGCATTGGCAACTACATTGAAGTCCTCTCTATAAGCCATGGGAGAGAACCAATGTCAGCTTCAAGATTCTTCAAATGCTCCCAAAGACCCCTCCTAGTCAGTCAATTATTACTGCCATACACATCAGTAATAACCATGCTATGACCAGTTACATCTCCAGCAATGGTAAAGGCCTGATCACAGCCTCTTAAGAAAGAAAATGACAGTCCTTTCCTCCACAACACCCAAAGTCTGCCTCCATCAGAAAAATCATAATTAGCAGTAAAATTACAATAAACACTTAAGACTTCAAAAACCTTTGAGAAATTAGCACTTCGAACTCTGATTTCCATAAAACAAATAACATCGACATATAAAGCCTCCAATCTCCTTATAACTCTTCTTAGTTTAAGGATATTATTGATACCCCTAACATTCCAAAAACTAATAATCATTTGTTAGGAATAGGAGGGTCTCCACTACCAACACCACAAAATACCTCATCCTTAGCTTTATCCAAATGCTCTTTCTTTTTGTCTTGATTTCATTAAGAAGCATAGCAACTCCAAAGGAAGTTGTCCTGGTCTTCCTTGGCCCATCAAGAACACCTCCTCCAGCAAGAGACTCCAATTTGCTAGAAGAACCAATATTATCCTTCTTTTTTCCCCTAGCCTTCTTCTTTTGATTTAAGGAATCCTGTAGAGATGGAAAATCTTCATCACAATTTGTAGCTTTAGGGATGATTTTATCTCCAGCAGCATTAATCAGATCACCACTACCAGAAACTTCCTTAACAGGGTTAGTAATAACAATATTCCCAAGAGATTGAGAAACAACATTTTCCTTTACCTCAAGTTTACTACCTTGAGAAGCAAGATCAGGCAACAGCTTAACCTGATCATCTTTCCCAGGATTATCTATCGTTTTCTTTTCCACCTGTAGAGTGGTAGCAGTAAGTTGAAGAGCAAGAACAGAAACTTCCTCAATAACACCTAGTTGCAAACTGGTAGCCCTCTGCATCTCACTATTTGGTTGAGTCTTCTGTGTAGCAAAAGTAGAGGGAGCCAAAGGCAAACTAGAAGTGCTAACCAACCTCTCTTTACCAGCATTAGCAGGAGCACTTGAATTCACCTTCTTTCTCCAAAAATGAGTTTCTTTAGTTTCCTTAGTTTTCGAAGGGCCTTTTAGTACTTCAGCACAACTACTTGCTAAACGGCCAAAAGTATTACACTGTAAACAAATCTTAGGAAACCAAGGAGCATACACCCTAATTTTTGCAAAAGAGCCATCCCTTAAGACTATATGGATCACCTCAGGGATCACTGCCCCAGCTTCAACCTCGACACAAACTTTGGCGAATTCGAGCCTATCCTTTGAAGCAGTAACAGAATCCATATACAATGGATTACCCACAGCACTTGCTATATAACTGAGACCAACTCGAGAAAAAAGCTCTAAGGGAACATTATATAGATGAACCCAGACAGGCATGCGTTTAAGATCAAAATCAAGTTTCCTTAAGTTCGGTTCCCATTTCCTTAACACGAGATGCTTGTTTTGAATTTGCCAAGGGCCATTCTCAAGCACCCAGTCTCTCAATTCCGAATTAGAGAATGAAAAAAACATAGAGATTGTGCCCAGCCAAGCTTACCTTAACATGCAAAGCTTTCCCCCACAGAATCTCTACAATACGCTACATGGAGCCAAAATTGGGAGCGTCTCCAATGAATTGCCCAACCACAGCACATCCCCATTCAGCGATTCCCTCTTCAATTACAGCAACAGGAGGCTTTACAATAGAAATACCCTCCAACAATTCAGGCGAAAAATACTCTAGGGATTGCTCTTTCGTTCCTCGAAAAAGCTTTCTCCAATTGAGCTCGGAAGACAAGGGCTCCATAAAATTCAAGAAAGAATTGAGAAAACAGAACAGTTACAACCAAAATCAGGAAGAAAATCTAGCAATCAACAGCGAGGAAAACGAAGATTCGAGTGCCCATTAGACCTGCTATCAACCGCCCAGAGCAGTTCCATCGCGCTCACTTATGTATATCCTTATATATATGTATATATATAAATTATATACTATATATATATATATATATATATATATATATATATATATATATTACAAGTATAATGGATGCATAAGTGTAATGTAGATTATATATACATGTATTATAACATTCATCATATATATATTATATATAATATATTTTGTAGTTGTTTTAATTTGATCATTGCATGTTGTTTAATTTATTTAAATTATAGTTTGTAATTTCATGTTTAATCAATTCAGTCCTTCAAAATTATATTATAATATCTGAAACCTTATAACTTTTGTTCCTCAACTTTTGAAATGAATGTAATTCAGTCTATTTTTTTATTAATTTAATCTTTACACTTTACAATTATTTCGATTCGATCCCTATGTGTTGTTTAATTTATTTAAATCTTAACTTGTAGTTTCATATTTATTCAATTTAGTCCTTAAAATTATATTTGCATCTGAAACTGGTCCATACTTATTTATATTTTTATAATTTACTTGAAACTCAATAAATTGTGTAATAAATTTCATTTTAAACCCTATAAATTTATATCATAATCTCCAAACCCTATAAACTTTTATAGTTATTTTGATTTGATTTCTCGTCCATTTTTATATTAATTTTAACTTAACATTTTATAATTTCAACTTAACATTTTAAAATTGACCCATACTTTGTTTTTTGTAATTTACTCCAAGTAATATACAGTTACAAATTACAATTTGTCGTTCATGAAAGGCAAAAAAAAAATTAACCCAAAAATGACAGACCTAAAGTCAATCTGTACCCGATAATATCCGACCTGAATTTGGTCTGTCAATGATGTGACCTGATCTGAACGAGATTCGACTTGAAGTCCATCTGAACATGAATTAATCTGGTATTTAATTGATTCGGACCTGAACCGTTTTGACTTAAATTGACATCGATCCTAATTTGATCTCAACCTGAAAATGACCTGAACTGATTTGACCTGAACCTGAACTGATCCGTGTCGAACCATCAAATTGATCTGACACAATCTGTATCTGATTTGACATGACTTGACAAGATCAGACTGAAACCTGAGGAATTACCTCATTTCATATCCCTATCCATGGTATTAGAAAATCACGTAACTGGGACTCCACATGGGAGTTTAATTGACGGTGCACTAAATTGGAAGTATGAAAGAGAGCGGTGATCATTCCTTTTCCTTTGTATGCAATATATACCGCAGTACTATGGTAAAGCAAATTTTGCTGACATGTAGTTTCTGTGCAAGATAAAATATTCAAATCGTTTTCAATATTCTCACTTTCCTCAAACCTGCAAAATGAGAAATGAAAATTATGGATAGTACTACATTTTCCTTCTGGTCAAATTACGAGACAGATGCAGACATATTTTATGTTTGATGCACAGCTGACATTGGCGGCTTCAGATAAGCAACTTATGGCACTTGAAGAGCAACATAAGAGTCAGTTGTTGCATGCAGTACCATGTGGATTGGGATCTGACCTGATGATAGACTGGTGAGGTTGGTGAAACAAATGCGGTATACTAGGAGTTGGTGGGAAGCGGATGATGGACCCCAAATTAATGGTGGAATCGTTTGTGGTAATGGGAGGGACACGCTCCGAAACACCCAACACATTCCCGATGGAAGTAAAAAAAAAATAATCACATCGATTCCTTTATTTCAAAAAGAATGCCATCATTTCATGGGATTAATACTTCATATTCATACGTGGGTAAGGGCTAAACCCAGTTTATAGATGTGCATATATTGTATGGCTATTAAATTTTTTGCATGTGATTGTGATTTTAATTTGGAAATTAATACTTGTTCAGATTCAGCAAATATACAAACAGGCAACTATCTACTTGCGTTTCTTTTTGAAGGATCATCCCTGGTGCAGGCAAGTGCTAGTGAAAACCTAAAGATTTAGCTCTGGATAAATGGAACACAAAAGTTATATGATTAAAAAGAAGAATAAAAAAACAACTCTCTACTTGGTGCTTAGATTAAGACGGACGTATTGGGTTAGAAATAGAACGGTTGGCAATTCTCGTTAACTCGCCGTCGTTTCAATTGTTGATGGGAAAACTAGGAGTCCATTGCAACAGCTTTGGGAAGCAGAAGTAATTGAGTGGAAGGGATGTAAGTTTGGGTCTGACTAGGAGTCCATTGCAACAGCTTTGGGAAGCAGAAGTAATTGAGTGGAAGGGATGTAAGTTTGGGTCTGGGACTTGAGTGTTTTCCTCCGAGAAAATCCTACTAACTGCTTCTCCTTGGAAACTCCTTTCCCCATTGTTCCAAGCACCTTCCTCACTTCATTTGCCAGCTCTATAACCATGTCATCCTCATGACCTATTTAACACAAAAAAATCCCATTTCCTTTCTCAATCAGTCATTCAAATTCGACATATTGTTCTTAATATGATGTATCCATGGGCTGTTTGAAGGAGAAAAAAGACTCACCGATATCATACATGGCCTTCTCCACAGAAAAGATAATCTCTGTTGTTTCCACATGGTCCAACAGCAGTTGCAATTTGCCTGGCATGGGTAACTTGAGCAATAATTCCTGTTAGAGCAGGTTGCAGGGGGTCTGCTTCCTGATTGAAAGCAACCATATATAAACACAAGTAGTGAAAATAAAACATGGACGGAAAGACAATAAAAAGAAAAACTCCCATTATACTTTGTAGAAGTCCACTAGGTTCTTTTGATCATATTCACATTCTCTCCGCTCCAAGTACTACAAAATGAGGATAAAAAACATAAGATAAATTTCTCTCTGAGTAATATGAATTTGAGAGAAAATTTGCCTGAAATAATGAAGAATGTTAAATGAAAGAAATACAGCAGTGTGAAGTGTGATGCACAATACCTCCATTGCTGCTCTTTCCCTTTCAGGACTGCCACGAACACAATAAGCAGCTCCCCACTGGAGAAATACTTCACAGTTAGCAAACAAAGAAAACATGCAGCCCCTAACAATACAATTATTAATAATTAGCAATAATGATTAACAAACAAAAAACCCAATATCCAGATCTTTGTATTAAGATTGCCCATCATAATCAGCACAAAATACAAGTAAATTACGCGAAAACAGACGGGATAACAAGTGTATCATCTGTCATGAAAGAGTTGCTATCAACTACTACTTACACAAACGGCTCCTTCAATTTGTTCCAAGGTGCAACTCCTTGCAGGATTTTCAGGTGTACCTCTGTGATCAATGCAGGCTGCAATACAAAATAGCTAGGATTCATAACCAGTACAACAAAATATACTGCAGAAATAGCTAAGATAGAAAAGAAAGAGAGAGCGAAGGACGATGGGTGCTGAATTCCTCCCCTCTTTCACTCTTCTTCCCAGATGGATGCTTTTGTTTCTAAAGGGGGTTGAAGCCTGCACCTGGGTATTTGTAGCTGCCCTCCCGATTTCCCACTTACGTTATCCCCACTTGTCCACCCATCACCCACCACCTCCTCTGTTTTGCTTTTATTATATTAAAGCGTGAAAAATATGGAATTAGATTCACTGACCTTGACAGTTCCAGGAAACATGCGGTCTCGTCCCCCCTGCAGGAATTTACTTTTGATTGAGGGACGTATATAGGGCAATTTTAACATACGGTTGAGAAATGTGTTATTGGAAAGATTAATATTTTTTTAATATTTTTTGGTAAAATGTTATCTAAATTATATTTTTTTATTAAAAATATTAATATTGAACGTTACTTAAAATGTTTAACCGATAAAGTACTATCTAAAACATTATTTTTTTACTAAAAATATTAATATTGGATTCTACCGGAAAATAGTTAACGAAATTAATATATCTGATAAAAAAATAATGCTTTAAGTAGCGTTGAGGCGGTGCCAACCAAATCTATTGTGAACTTTAGGATTCATTGAATCTAGACAATATATAACATTAACATAAGGCCAGGAAATTAACACAATGGAACATGGTTTTCAGAACCGGACCGATTAGTAAATCGGTCATGCTATCGGTTCATTGGTTCAACCGGTCGAGCCAGTCTGATCGGTCGGAAGAACTGAACGACGTCATAATTATTTAAAAAATTAAATAAAAATATCAAAAATATTTAATAAAAAATATTTTTTTATATCACAAGTCATATTCAAAGCAAATCATAACATATATAAGTTAAAAATCATAAAATCAAGTGAAACAAAATAATTCAAATTAACTACAACATAATATTTAAGGTAAAATATATTAAGTAATAAATATAATTATATAACTATAATTAAAAAATAAATTTAGGGCTAAAAAATCATAACAAAATGATATTGTTTGGTTTAATTTTTTTTTAAAACAATCTCACATGGCTAAGAAACATAGAAGAGCATCCCAACTAACTTCTATAAATAATAGAGGTAATTTGGCAATCAAAATCATGGAGCCTTTTGGTGAGCATTGAATGAACTATTCTTTCACTTTAATCAAGCTCGAATTTTAGGCTTCAATCGAGCTTCTAAATTTTTTTTAGTTCAAGCCTTTTCGAGTTCGAGTTGAACTAGATAATTTTTAGCTCGTGAGTTTGAGTTGAGTTGAGCTTACTTTTAAAGTTTTCAAGTTCGAGTTGAGCTCAACAATACTCGAGTTCGACTTTGCTCGTTTAATAAATGACGTCGTTTGGTTTAATTTTTAAAAAAAAAAACCAAATTGGCGGTTTTTTCCGGTTTTCAGCCAATTCGGTTCAAACGATTCAGCGGGTTCGGCCGGTTCACTAGTAGCGGTTCAACTGGTGTAAATTGAACCGGACTAGGAAGCGATTCCCGTTTGAACCGGCCGATCTGATCCGGTTTTCAAAACAATGCAATG